GAGCTTATCTTCGTACGGTCTGTAGATCGAGTCCCATAGTCCGCGACCACGCGCTAACGCCTCGTCGATGTTTTGCGACGTCGGTTGTCGGCTTGGTTTCGTGGACAGTTTGGATGTTACTTCTTCGGGGAGCGATGCGTGGAACGCATTTAGAGAATTGATCGTTCGTGGGATGCCGTTGAAGCTGATGCATTTGAGGCCGACTTCTCGGATGAACTCGGCATTTTGGACAGCCGAGTTGGGATCTTTTGCGGACGCGACGCGGTGAAGGACAGGTAAGGAATCGGGAGAGTTGAGCGTAAACGTCGCAGCAGCCTAGATTATCAGTACACAAAATCAATTGATGCGACAATTGTGGACGACGTACAGAAACTGTTAGCCACGACTTTGGGCCGAGGTTCCTGATCGCAGCATCATTTGCGATGGCCTCATACAACTCCTGCACTTGTTTCGGCGCAGGACGAGGACCTGGCTTTGCGAAGGGCGCATTGATAAGCGCTTTCAGCGACGTAGATAGTTTCGACATGTCTGCTTGTTTCTCGTTTGACATTGCGTTCTTTTGCCGAGGATGTACTGACGCTTTTGTGACAATGACGATGATGGGCGGGAGTCAGAGTTGGAGACCGAGGGATGGGCCCGCTTTTTCTACGGGGTTCAGAATGGATGAGCGGGCGGAGCTAGATTTGGATGCCGAGAGCGCGTGTAAGCGTACAAAACAATGAGATGGAAGGGAGATGTGAGGAGTAGATCATAGTGTGTTGGGATAGAATATTGTTGAAATGAGCTCTGATAAGAAGAAAGAGCCTTTTTGGCTTGGGTATGTCTTTTGCGACAGGTGTGAACATGGCTAACTGTTTGTAGCGGTGCTGCAGCTTGCATGGCTGTTTGCTTCAGTATGTTTTCCTCGACGATGGAGAGCTTGACTAACATGTGAAGCCCACCCTTTGGATCAAACGAAATAGTGAGTTTCTCAGTCACACTTCCATCCCTAGGCTAACCAGCTAGTCGCATGCAAGTCCTCAAAAGCAATGCCTCCATGCTCAACGTCCTCTGTCGCTTCGCCGCACGAGATGGTAAGGTCCCCATCCTGTATACCGTCCACCAACTAATGAGCAGGCATCCCATCACTTTGGAACGGCTTATCAGCCTCCATGCTCCGTCAAGGAACATACTCAACCGCCCGTTTCGGCTTTCACACTTACTTCTCAGATAAACTGAGAGGATACACAGGCAAGAAGCTCTCAGTCGCACAGAACATCGCTTGTGCTGGTGTTGCTGGCGGTGTTGCTGGTTTAGTTGGCAATCCAGCTGAAGTTGTTCTCGTCCGTATGTGTGCAGATGGCGCAAAGGCTCCTGCGCAGCAATTCGGATATGCTCATGCTTTTGATGCGCTGGCGAGGGTTTATAGTGAAGAGGGGATGAGGGCATTCTGGAAGGGGATTGCTCCGAATATTGCGAGGAGTGCTTTGATGAGTGAGTTTCCTGCTCCATAAGTGGACTTTGCTAATAAGTACAGATGTTTCTCAGATTGCTACGTAAGTTCACTGCTTCTGTGAGTGACTCAACTCACAACTCAGATACGCCTCCGCCAAACAATATCTCCTCGGCAACGGTTTTGGGGATGATACAAAAACACATGCTATTTCGTCATTGGCCGCCGGAACAATGGCTACGACTCTATGTGCCCCTGCAGACGTCCTCAAGAGTAGAATGCAATCTAGCGCCGGAAAAGAAGGCCTAGCTCAAGTTCTGGGCACCGGTCTTCGTGAAGAAGGTCCACGATTTCTCATGAGAGGCTGGACACCCGCTTGGTTGAGACTTACGTATGTTCCTCGCATCTCGTGTTGAGTTAAGCTGACTCTTCAGACCGCATACTGTTTTGACGTTTGTCTTTATGGAGAAGCTTAGGCAGCTTACATCGATAGATTGGCTAGGTGGGATTAGTGCAGCGGAGAAGGAAACCCTTCGCTGAGAAACGCGTTCTGGATTTGATTGTGACTGATTTGAGCAAGTAACTTGTTTGTTGATTTATGTAGCAATTATATACCAACTTCAGGCCAGTAAAGCCATTCGAAATTCGTCATGTCCTCCCATGATAATCCCCCAAACGAAGGTTCAAAATCGTTTCCTGGCTGATTCAGCGCCTGAACGATCTGATCATCAGACATTGCTGAGAATTGTAAAGGTTCAGGCCATAGCGCCTGCTGATCCAAAAAGGTCGGAGTCGTGATAGGTGCTTCATTAACAATTGGCATTCTCGGGTCCGAGATACCATCTCCCGTCGCTGCCCTTCTTACGATCTGCTTGAGGTATTTCCCGTACTTGATGGAAAGGCCATTACGATGCCGTGTGACTTTTCCGATCCTTTCGAGCACTGTGGCAGTTTCGTCGATGAGGTTGCGGACGCTTGGGGCTAGGGATGATCCACCGGTTGCGTAGGAACTTAGTGTGAGAGCGAAGCAGGCTGCGAATGATATCATGATGGCTGTGTTGTTTGGCATTGACTGAAGTTGGGATTCGCCCTGGATTGCAGCTCGCATGACGTTGAGGGCGGATGAGAGACCAGCTGTGTGGAAGAAACGGCGGACTTCGAGGGGGGCTGTTGGATGGTTTATTACTCCGCCGTAGATAGACAATCGGGTATGAGTGACAAGAATCTCGACATAAGGGGGAAGACGGCGGTCTGATGGTTAGCATGGTTCCTGTCACGGAGCAAAGAAACTTACCTGGCCCTTTTCCGATTGATACACCCCATTCCGTGTACCACTGGTCGAAGAATCGTTCAATCGACCCTTGAATCCTGCTACTGTTAGCTGCGTTCCTAATTTTGGTGGCGTACGTACGACTGCGCGATCAATGATCCATCACTGGACGCCATCTGAGATCCATCGCAAAGAGCCCGAACCGTCGCAAACAGCGCATCCAAATCTCTTCTTAGCACCGCCATGGAAACTAGATGACCATCAAGAGGATCAGCATATTCAGATCGATGCCAATTATCGCAGTCTTTCAAAGATCTTGTCATCGGCACTGAAAACGGACGCCCTCTAGCCAAAGACATTCCTCGCTCAAGAACAAACAACGATAGCCAGCATCGTTCGCGGTTGCGAAGAAATAGTCTTCCTTTTTCTGACCATGGATCTATCTCAGGAAACCCATCCATTGCGAGAGCAGCTCTTGGGTCGAGACAGTCACCCCTTGCTAGACCGATGCCAGACCCTGAACCGACCATTTCCGGTGAGATTAGACTCTTGTGGAGTGATAAATCCGTAGCAACTGTGTTGGCGATGGAGATGTAAGTACACGTTTCGTCGTCAGTTGAGTGCTGGCCCGGAAACATCCATGGGATATTGACCATGAAAGCAAGCACGATTTCAACAGATCTGTATCGATTTACCATGACTCTATGCGCAAGAGTTCTAGCGTGATTCGATAATCGTTTTGAGAGAGCTGCTGCTGATGGCATGAAGAGTGCAGATGCAGCCATGATAGACGTGTAAAGAAACGCTGATCTCGAACGCGTGAATTCAACGGTGTATATCCTTGGATCAAGGCCCCATCGTGTGTGCGCGAGGTTCCGATGAAAACTACGCGGTTAGTACGCGCCACACACGGAGTAACAAACTCACAAGTTGAAGAGCTTATCCGCTTCCTCCTCAGATACAAGGCCCAGAGAAACAGGATCTACATCCGGTCCAACATCGAGATGGACTTGCGCCGGCGCAAAGAATGCTTGAATTTCATCCTCCGTTTGACCCTGCGTACTAGCCGTATGCGCCTGTATTGGAGAATTCCCATGTCGCGACTCAGGTGACGGTTGGATATACGATGCCCTTGCAAGAAGTTGTAGCGGATTCTCTGCGTCGTCAATAGCAAGACTCTGTTGTGTTCTCTGAATGAAATCAGGCATCGCTACAGGATCCTGCTCCTCCTCCTCTTCCGAATACGCATCTTCATCGCCATCACCGCTGACACTGTACCCACGAGTAGTCGCGTGTTCAGGCGTGTTCGCATTGCTGAGCAATTCCTGCAAATGGTTCAGAATCCTATCATCTTCGGGATTCTTCTGCGACGCTGATCTCGCGCGTTTGACAGCCTGGTCAATCTGATACAGCGCCTTATCCAACCCCGTTCGTTTACTGACAAGTCAGCATAACAGACAACAACATGCAACATGCAACATGCGGGGAACATTACTTTTTAATACCCTTTTGCCGTCCGGGATGATAAGCAGGACGCACACACTCGCAGTCAAGCTGTATGCATCTCCTGCATCGTTCCTGGTGCGGTTTCCAGTCGCATTTGATCTTTGAGCGGCGACATACGAGACAGGCTGCTTGTCTTGGACGCGGCGAATCACCAGACTCGAGCGGGGATGTCTGGCTCTGAGAGTCAGAGTTCCGCCCCGCCATGATAAACGAAAAAAAGAGTCGGAGGTTGATCTGTTACCGACGATGGGAAGCGTCGATGAGGTGATGAGAAACAAAGTTGGGTAACGGGGGAGAATGGGGGAGTTGGAGAGGCGGAGATGTTTCCGACTTGAGACTCGAGTCAGGTCGTCGGAAAGATACGTGATTGGTCAGTATTTAAGCTTCCGATATTGACTCGCGAGCGGAGATGCCTGCATGTATTCTTCAACGGTTTCACTAATAGCCATGATTAAGATTATGCATAGTTATCGATAAGGTATATTATAGTACTTGCAGATGCCCATCATCCACAGAGAACCATAGATATCATGTCGCCATCGACCCTGTCGAGCACGAAATGAACGGACAATCGCAAAAAGTGGAAATGGCCACTGACTATATCGTCGGGCAACTTGCGATTCTAGCCTGATTCGGAAGAGTTGAGCATTAACCTTGTTCCAATCCACAATTGATACTCCATTGATGAAAATCTTGTGAGAGAATGGCGATATGAGAGGGGTTTATAAGAGGTGAGGGTTGGAACATTTCTGAATTGAGTTTGTCTTTGACTTTGGATGTCTGTGTGTCAAAATGTCGTCCAACGCTGTGATCGAATCGGGCAGTGATAAAGATGCCAAGGATGTCACTGAGCAGAGCATCGAGCAGTCTAAGCCTGTATCTCGGTTTACGCGATGGTATCGCAGTCCTTTATTCAATGTCATAATCGTTGGTTTAATCTCCTTCACTCAACCAGGAATCTGGAATGCCCTCAACAGTATGTTCTCCGTCTATTCACTTTCCATCGCTGACAATTCTAGATACTGGCGCTGGTGGTCAGCAGGAGCCATACCTTGTCAATGGCGCCAACTCGCTCACTTTTGGCATCATGGTTTTCGGGTGTTCCATCTTCAGTATCCTGGCCAATAAGATCGGTCTGAAATGGGTTCTTGTTATCGGCACCCTTGGATATGCACCGTATTCTGCGGCGCTTTACACCAATAACAGATATGGTGTTGAGTGGTTTGTTCTGTTTGGTGGTGCTACCTGCGGTATTGCTGCTTCTGCGCTTTGGGCTTCGGAGGGTGCTATCGCTTTGGGATATGGTGATGTCAAGGATCGTGGAAAGTTCAGTAAGTGATATCTTCTGGTCGCAAAGTCACGGTGCTAACTTTTACAGCTGGAATTTGGCTTGGGCTTCGTGAGCTTGGTCAACTCATTGGCTCTTCCATTCAGCTCTCACTCAACGTCGAGTCTGGAAAGAGGGGCCGTGTTGGATACACCACTTATCTCGTCCTCATCGCTCTTCAATGCCTCGGTCTTCCTCTCGCCCTTCTCATCTCACCTCCCAACAAAGTCATACGGCCCGATGGCTCCAAGCTACCTCACACTCAAACCAACAAGAGCATCAAGGAACAGTGCAGACGATGGGGCGCTCTCATCAAGCGCAAGCAATTCTTCCTCTTGATTCCTATTCTCGTTGGCTTCAACTGGAACAGTACTTATCTGGGCATTTATCTCGTCAACTACTTTTCCGTCCGAGCTCGTGCTTTGGCTTCACTGACTTCGGGCATTGCTGCTACCGGCGCCAATATCTTCTGGGGCTGGTTCTTTGATCTCAAGTATTTCAGCCGACCTCAACTTGCCAGAATTACTTGGGTGTTCTTGGCTGTTACCATGACTGCTCTGTTTGGTTGGCAGTTTGCTATGGAGCTGGAGTATCGTAGCGCCAACCCTGCTGTCACTCTCGACTGGGACCTCCCTGGCTTCGGTCGTGGATTTGCTGTGCAAGTTCTTCTTCGGTAAGTTCACGTCTACCTACATATGAGAAACAAGTGCTGACATATCAGATTCATGAACGAATCTCATTACATGTTTGTGTACTGGATCATTGGAACTTTCTTCGAGGACGTAGAGACCCTGACTCTCGCTGTTGGCTTGGTCCGATCTTTCGAATCTCTTGGTTCATGCTTGGCATTTGGTGTCGGTGCTGCAAAGGTTCCATCTCTCACCAACCTCATCGTTGCCTTTGTCATGTTCTGCATTTCTCTCCCTTCGACATCCTTTGCCGTTTTCCTTGTCCCTGAGCGCCCGGCAAATCATGTGCTTGACAAGGATAACGAGTCTGAGGAATAGGGTTATACTTCGTACCTAGGCTTTAATTAACATTTGGACTCTCCCATTGTGCATTCTGCCCCGGTTTTCTAACTCGTATCTAATTGACGGTGGATCCGATCGATCGTAATCGCGATGCAGGGTCGCGGCACAAGGTCTTGCGGGATGAATGAGGAAGTCGTTCCAGAAGAGGAAGTTGGCAGTTTCCAAAACAGTGCCAGGAAGCCAAGAAAGCATATATGCTTGCCAAGCGAGCTGGGCAGCATAGGGCTGAAGTCTACAAATGAGAAGGCGGCCAAGTGAAGCTTTTGTGATAACTAATCCACATACGTAAATAAATCTAATTTAACGACGAAATCATGACTTCCTCCGAATCCCTATACCTTATTGTCCCATTCTTGAACGCTCGAACCAGTCCTCGCACCTTGTGCTGCAAAGGAGTAATCTTCCTCAACTGCAGAAACTTTCGAACCAGCTGAGCAGCAATAGCTAAAGCTCCCGAAACAGCCCCGGTCATGAAAAGAACAGATAGATCGCCTAGCGAGGTGACGTATGACAAGGTGAACCAAAATGCCGTCCTATGCTTGTAAGCAATGAACCTAACAGGCCCATGATACATACCATGCAACAATGACGGGAGATACAGCACTGATGTAAGGCCGCTCCTGTTGTTTGATCTGTCCAAGAATGTCGTCGAGCTTGATGAGATTATGTATAGCGTTGGTTTGTGAGAGTCTGGCCCTCTGATCTGCTTCTGATCCTCGGAGAGGACGAGGTCTGGCATAAAGGCCTGGAAGATGATCGCGACTCTCTTCATGTCCGATAGCCTGAAAATATTTCCTGAGCTGTCCATTTACAGATTCTCTGCAAGTTTCAAACTGCCGAAACACATCACTGTCATAGTCGATCCGTGAAACTTGTGATAGTGGCTGGATGGTGATAGCTGCTCCCTCAATATAAGAGCTGCCCATGATTTCATAGACTTTTCGAATGTTTCTCGATCTCTGATTTTCTTTCGGACTTGTTCTCGGCGGAAACAGAAGTGAAAGCGTTTCTTTTAGATACGACTCGTTGCAAGCATGAACTGAGAATGACCAGAAACCAACAGGGACTTATGCATGTTGATTGGCTGTATAAAGAACAATAGCTCGTTTAGATTCAAAATCAGGTTGAATTTGATATTATTCTCAAGACAATACAAAGTGGCGTCAAACTAGTCGCAGAAGTATGGCTTGTGCGCGACATCACCAAGGCCAAGGTTATATGAAATTCGAGGAACTTGAGGAAATAGTATGCAAATTCTACTTGTATAGTATCCGCGGAATTGTAGACTTTATTATCTATCGCTTTATGAATCACGATAATCTCTTTGGCCGAAATGGGATGGGCTAATCAATCACCCTCCACTATGACTTTGCTCAAGCAACAAAGACATGACAAGTCTGTGCATTTGATGGATCGCGTGCATTGACCCGATTACGCGCTTGGACCTAAGCTCTACAAGAATTCAAACTGAATAGAAGTGCACAGTATGTAAGAATATGTTCATTAGTTTTGCTATGGTATCAATCAACTATGGCTACAAAGACCTATCGCTCGGACTTTCAGACCTCATCTGAGTCGTAACTTGTGTCTTGTTAAACTTACTCTCCCCGTTAACAAGACTCTGCTCATCATTCTCACTATACTGCACATGAAACGTCCTCTGCAACTCAATACCTCCATGTTCAGGCGTATGTATAGAGTCACCTGTATGAGAAGGTAACTCCACCCGAGCACGACTTCGACTCATGATATGTGATTTTCGTCCATAATGTTCCCCGTAGTTGTTGTATTTGCTCGAATCGTAGGATGAACCTCCAAGAGAGGGGAACAGACGGACGAGAATGACTCTTAGAGCGGGCATGGATGCGCAAATGATACCGACGTTGATTTCAACGGTTGACCAGATGGAGATGTCGGTTTGGTCGTATGTCGGGTTGTGAGATGAGCCGAGATCGACGAGGAATTGGAGACGAATGATGCTCACGACGGTGACGCTGAAAAGTTAGCTACGCTCGTTGAAATTGGCGGATGACTTACAAGGTTCCTACGATGAACATGGCAGCGACACCAATCTTCTTTTTCCAATGCAGTTTGAGCTTTCGGAGATACCACAATGGAACTGCAAGCATCCATACATCCACAGCAACACTGATAGATGCATTGGCCCAGCCGATGGCAGTTGAATTCATGCTGATACTGTTAGCCAAATCCGACAATCACAATTGCGAACGTACCATGTTCCCTTGTGCTCTCCATCCCAATTCAACCAGAAATAGCTCACAGGCGTACACTGAAACGCCGCCAAAAACATAAACAAGACACCAAACACACTATTGAAAATAATAGTCCCCCAAAGCAACTTTTGCGCATTCCCCGGGAAAATTCTCAGGTAAAAGAACAACAACGACGTCTTGAGCAGCGAAACCTGCGCAAAGTAGAATATCTCAAGCAGCCAAAAGTAAAACCCAAACTTTGTGATGTCATCAAACTCTAGCGTCCAGATATCGCGGCCTTCTCCGTGGCCGGCGGTTCCGTGGATGTTCATGGCGGTGGAGGGCATGCCGATGAAGAGCGTGAGCACGATGAAGAGGTCGTCGAGGCCGAGTTCGGTCTTGGTGAAGAAGAATTTGGACCAGAGACGGAGGGCGGTTGCGACGCCGGATATCACGCCGAGAACGATTGTGACGTTGATGAAGATGGGGGTCTTGTTTCGCACGGGGACTTCGCAGTAGGTGTATGTCATGTTGAGCGTTGCTACTCATGTTAGAGACTTGTGGTGTTAGAGGAGGGTCGACGTACTCAGACTGTCTCTGACGTGACATGCTTGGGCGGCGCATGCCTCTGCTGTTTGGATGATGACTTGCGTTGAGCACACGCATTTCACATCGGTCGAGTTGCAGTCCGACTTTTTGATGGCATCTTCATAACAAGGAGCCTACAAATTAGCACAGACAACCCGATTGAGGGACAAAACTCACTGCACAGGCAGGCAGATTGGTCAACAACTCTTTGGTTGCATTCGCTGCCGCTGCCAGGGGCACAAAGGCCACCAGAAAAGGCACAATCCACTTCATATTGATCGACAAACGTTTTACAAGGAGGACGACCCGCGTGTGCGGACCCCAGGGGATATTTAACAGATTTGCTTTGGGGCAGAAGTAGGCGTTCTCTTTTTTAAACCTTGACCTTACAGTCATCGTCTCAAGGGATCAGCGCAACCCCACTGCGTTCGTCCCGTCAATTTGGAAGCAAGTTAAAACATGGATGATCCGGATTCTTCCAGATACAGCGTCACATCGCCTACAGGTTTGTGTTCCCTGCAGGGGCTGATAGCTCTAGTGTATTAATTGGCGCAAGCTCAGGTTTGTTTAGAGTATCTCGTAACTTGGGACTGTCACTGGGCTGTACAGTAATTTAGTTTGGGCTGAAATCTCAGGAACCGCACTAATCGGCAAGGGACTGCCGGGCTTCGGTAACCTCCTTTTTTCGTGGTGAGAGAGAGACCGGAGTTTCAAGTCGTGGGTGAGGTCCCAATTCTGGAAGGTGTCTCATGGGTTAGTGTAAGCAAAAGATCCTTGACAATCAAATCAATCAAATCAGCTTGGCATGTGCCAACGGCCCGATCCCTGTCTCGCCAAGGATTGGTTGGGCTGTGGACGAAGATCATCTCGAGATTTGGCTTAAATGTGAGAATGGAAATGATCAGCATAATGACTCTTGGAGGCGCTCGACTTCGAGTCAGCCAAATGCATGATTTCTGCAACGGAATCGTTCCGTAACCAACAAACTCCCCCTTTATTCCGAGTTTTTGTGCTTCATCAGAACTCAAATCAGCCTGATAAAACTCGGGTTAGCTTGGTCCGATGCTACCCCAGGTTTCAACTCAACGCGGCAATTCAACCGAAGACGAGGAAATTTCCAAAAGCTTATCAGAAGAAGCAAATATTATCCCAATCGCCCGGTTGACGGTCTATTCTCACATGCAATTTAATAGCCTCGGACGATTGAACAGAATGGGTTCGCTCCTGGGAAACAAGGTTCTCGTACCATCGTAGCGTTTTGCGGAGGTGACCCATTTCCATCCTCGCCTCGGTGAAGCTATTGGAACTAGAAGCTAGACCTGTCGAGACCGCTAACTAGCCCTGTACATATTCATAGCTAGTCATGATCCTAGGGCTATTACATCAACGGTCACTAAGGAATCTGGCAGAACGCGTTCTGTCATCGATGGAGTAGTTGGCTTGGCAATGATTAATGCTCTCTCCACTTGGTAGTCATCATTTGACTATAATTATGTTACTTCGCCTGTAGTTCGTTGGCTTGAATGTTTTGTAGGCCTCCATCGACATGGGTTACTTGCATATTACCCTTGCCATCGTTAGAAATGCAACCTCGACTGATGCACTGTTCAACCCTGATTGTTTGACAACGTGTTCTAGATTGCTTGCAGGTGTTCCATGTGGTCAAAACCCCTGCGTCTGTCAGTGGCCATGAAGCAGATCTGGTATGCTTCTCGCGTGGCCTTGACACATTGCGCAAAGTGTTCGCTGTTTTTCCACCTTTTAAGCTAGATTCAGTGATCTGCCGAAAGCTTTGGCCTCGAAAATACGCAGATTGTTCCTGTATGAGGTATCTTGTCCGGGTGGGTAAGAAGCATATCGCCGCGGGTAGCAGATCTAACGAGTCTGGATGTCTCTTTGGTTGCATTCAAGATTGACGCAATGCAGCACATGACATTGTCGTTTCAATGCAACGATAAGGATGCCCGTTCCAGTGATTGAGTCATGAAGGCGATGAACGTCGTTGCATTGAACAGGATTCAAGCTCGACCTTGACATTGTCAAGAATTGAGCAATAGTCACCGGTGAATCTGCGAGTCTTACAGGGACTATTAATAAACCCATATGCGTACTTGACAGCTGCATTCCGATTCGTTGTATAGTCGGTCTAGTGAATTGATACCATGGGGGATAGTCCGTTATCATCCAGCTCATTACCCTATCCATAATGGCCGTGCTCCATCCAATCCTGTGGACTGTGCATTGTTCTTCATTGCGTTAAGCTTAATTTTATACAGCCTAATCTCGAATATCCTGTCGAGAACATAGCTTTCGTCCAGACTTTTGACAGATACCACGGGCCTCAGCACATCCTCTTAGATAATTTCGATGCTCATCTTGCTTCGGGGGGCTACTCGTATACAACGGATATCTGGGCTTCTTCTGACACAATGGTCATAATAAACTGACCTTATTATTTTGGTTTTTGTGTCCTTTCTGCCCCTAACCATTGGTCCGTTCAATTGGAGGATCTGTGTTTGTTAAGCTGTTTGGGCTGTATTTTATGAATTCGTTTGTTGACACTATTGGAATCATCCCTTGCGCTCTATAATAGTGCATGACTTCTCAGCTACGAAGTCTCGTCAGGATGTATTTATAATATGCCCCTAGGTAATGTCAAGGGTGCTTATGCCCAGCCGGACAAAGCGGACTTGGCCGTGTCAACACCGGAAGCCTCCCCGGCCGCCACGTGGGTCCCGATCGTGGGGAAGTGCCAATGCTCGGGTTCCGGGTAGGTATCGCATTTTATCATTGACTTCTGTTATCGATTAACATACAGAGCGCGTGTGTGAATAGGAAAATACTTGAGTTGCTGGAAGAGCTTGTCAAATGTGATGAAAATTGCTCCATTAACCTACCCTAAAGATAGAATAATGACGTCAAGTGGAATCGTTGCTTCATACCTTCAACAGCTCAATAACATCACAGCATCACCCAGTTCTTCACATCTTCAATACTCTACCTACACTTAAACCGCCCACAATGTCTCTAACACCTCCCTCATCCCTCCGCGTCTCCAAACATCTGATCCCATCTCACAACCATATCCCCAATTGCAGCATCCACCAAAAACCACTTCTTCACTACCACGCCGCCTTCAAGGCCCCCATAACCGCATCAAAGATCGAAGCGCACCTAAACTCAATTAACGTGGTCATACCGCAGTGGCGCTACACAATGTACTCCCAAACGCACTTCCACAGCACGACCCACGAGGTCCTCTGCATAAGCCACGGCAGAGCCCGCTTATGCTTTGGTGGCGAGGATAATGAGGGGAGGGTTGAGCCGCTGGTGGAAACGGGCGATGTTGTTATTGTGCCTGCGGGAGTGGGGCATCGGCTGTTGGAGGATCTGGACGGTGGGTTTGAGATGGTCGGGAGTTATCCAAAGGGCTGTGACTGGGATATGTGCTATGGGAAGAAGGGCGAGGAGGAAAAGGTGGGAGCTATTAAGCACGTGGAGTGGTTTAGGCAAGACCCAATCTACGGGGATGAAGGGCCTGCTACGAAGGTTTGAGCGAGTCACGTTGTGGCATTTGCCGTGGCTTCGGGAGCATCGAGAACTAAACTTTCACTGCAAGGTACAAGCCGTAGGTCAAATCATGTATTCAATCCATCATTACTATTGTCCAGTAATCCATACTATGCACATAACCATTAACCATTAATCCGACGAAGTTTAGAAGTTCATGACAAGGGCAGCACCACCGAAAAGGGCACCGAGCGCAATAGCAGCAGTGGCCTGGGCAGCGCCTTCAGTGGAGGTCGAAGGCGACAGGCCAGTGGCCGCAGCTGTGTTTGTGTTCTCGGGAACACCCGATGTGAAGGGGATGTCGCTGACGGAGCTGGCACCGGAGAAAGCGGCCTCCTGGGTGCTGGCGGTAGGGTTGGCGGTGGCAGAGGGCTTGTCGGGGTTGAGGACACTGAAGATGTTAGTTGGGTTTGTAGAAGTGGGTGAGTGACTTACGCATCAATGACATGGACGACACCGTTGGCGATGAGGACATCAGGGACAATGACCTTGGCCTCATTGACAAAGACAGTGCCGTTGTGAATAACAATGTTGAGCTTCTCACCCTCAGAAGTGGTGAGAGTACCGTTCTTGAGGGTAGAGCTGTATCCAAGAGTGTTGTTGACAACGTGGTACTTGAGAATGCTCTCAAGGTCAGACTCGCTCAAGTTGGAGAGGACAGAACCAATGTTGGCAAAGGCGCTGTTGCTGGGAGCAAAGACAGTGATGTTCTTCTCATTGGTGAGGTTTGTGACGAGCTTGGACTCGGTGAGAGCGCCAGCAACGGCGGAGAGGTTGGCGGCAATGGCCGTGTCGGAAAGGTTCTTGGGAACGGCGAGGACCTTGTTGATGATGTGGATGACACCACCAGTGAAGTTGAGGTCCTGAGCGTGTTAGTGAATGCTGTGATTGATCAATTGGATGACTTACAGCCTTGGTGACATTGGACTGTTGACGGAAACCACTGTAGAAGCTGACAGTGTCACCATTGGCCAAAGCCTCGACACGCTGTCCACCAGTGACATTGGCATATGTCGCGTTGTTGAGGAGCGTAGGGACAAAAGCGGGTGTGTCGCTGATGTTGCTGGCATAGTAGGTACCGTTCAGAACATGGTACTGAAGGATAGCAGCGACGGAGCTGGGGTCGTTCTCGACCATGCGGGCGACAGCGGTGTCGTTGAGGAGGTCCTTGATGGCATCGTTGCTTGGGGCCAAGATGGTGACATTCCTGAGACGGCCAAGATCTCTGAGAAGACTGGGCTGGGCACGAAGGAGGCCTACACGGTCAGCTTGCATCGACAAATGAGATGCAGTAACATACCGCTGAGCTCAGAGAGGGTAGAGTTCTCAGACTCGAGAGCAGCAGTGAGGTTGACACGGCTCTGGGCGGTGGCGTAGCCCGAGAGGGCGAGGGCGACAAGAGACTGCAGCTTCATTTTGATGATGGACTAGACAGAGTTAATCTTGGATAAACAACACAACTCAATTCCAAAACACGGGGGGAGCACAGCTTAAGAACTCCTCGAGAGACAAGCTCGTTAGCTCTCACGGCAGCATCCTGGCCAATTGGTAAAGCTTCGCCCAGCACGAGCCCCCTCGCGAGACCAGACTCAAAACAGAGTCAATGACATAGACCAAGAGCTCAGGCGTCATCAATGGCCAGAATGGTGAAGTGCTACTCAGCCCACGCCAAGGCTCTTGGGTCTGAGACGAGGTCAAGGGTTGGCAAAAAGCTCTGCTTCTGTCGTGGCTTGCCGTGTGCCGAAAGCCGGGGAAGCTGTTGTCTCCGGGAGTTGCAGTTTGGAGTCGCACCATGGGAGAGACGTGCATTCAATTGGACAACGCGAGAGATTTCCATTAGCTATGTAACTAGTTCTGCCTCGTATTGAACCTGAGAAAAGCCTGTTTGTTGTGTCGGTTCCAGGCGCTGGAGGCCACCGAACCGCGTAACAGACAACCTATACAGTTCAATAGCTTCATTCTCTCGCTGGTAATATCCGCAAAATCTCATTGGGTTTGGAGTCGATCCGGACTAGGCTGCAAGCTTCCTCAGCCCGGATCCCCACACTCCACAGCCGATCGGGTATCGTGATATCGTCATAGATATTTGTTAAGGTATCGCAAAAGCACAGTTTTCAACACAGCCGACTTGTGTTTTGACTGATCCTCACTCAATTGAAGACGCTGCCAAGGCGCTCGGCACTGCTAGCGTTGCATTCCAGCTGTTTCATAGGGTGATGAAGAGCTCCCTTGGACTGTAAACCGGCCAATGCAACGCCGGGGGACAAAAGGGATGTTGGTCAGCTCATGCATCGGTCAAAAATGGCCGGACATGGTTCAGAGTCCAGACTGTCGCAGAGTTTGGCAAAATTGTTGGCAGATGCCGATTGGTTTCGTCGTTCGGCGAAAGGATTGTTCACCAATTGACGGGCCAACTCAGAGAGGAGGTCCAAATGGATCGGCGTTTTCCAGTTTCACTCTCTTTGTCTCTCGGAGATCATCCCCAAATACTGTGCCGTCCTCGTTGGCTGCCGCCTTCTTTTCTTTGTTCATAACCTGTTCTCGTCTCGCTCGTTGAAGATTGACTAGGTCCGCTCGATCGGGATCACGACATTTCTGCAGTTTCTTTCGAAGTGGTTTCATCGCTTTGACGATTTCGGGCTGCTCCTGTTAGTCTGGTTCGGGCAACAAGCCAAGCTTTAAACGTACCGTTCCCCAATACTCGGTCATTCTCTCGGGAGGTTCCTCCTCAAGCATCTTGCGGCAGCCGTCTACAGCTCCTAGAATCTTGTCTCGCATGTTTGCAAATGCTGATTCCTGGCTAGCATTGCCACCTTGACCAGATGTCGGGATCAATGTGTCGAGCAGTCCATGATCTACCATGGAAAGCGCCGCCATCATGATTTGACTCGGTGCATAATGGAAATATGCGTCTGTCAGCAAAGGACTGAACTTGAGAATGTCACGCGCGCGGGCATGCGCCTTATTGATTCGCGTCTCTTCGTCCGGTAGCCTTCTTCTCAATTCCAGAATGGCACCCTCGAGCGCTCTGAACGGATGTCGCACATCAAAAGCAAAGCGGATTCCCTGGCACAGAAGAAACTCTCCCGCCAGGATCTGCTCGCCCGTTGTCTTTGGGAATTTATCTGAAAAGGCATTGAGCTTGTAGAAGAAACCTTCAGCCTTGCATCCAAAGAAGAGTGATGTTTTGAGGAGTTCGGTCGCAGGGTAGGTCATGACCGAGTTGGTCACGTAGAACCGTCGCAGAAAGATAGCGGCCGTCGCTCGAATCTCGGTGGGAAGCTCGCAGAATGTAGCCGCGCGAATAAGCTCGACGGTGAAGAACTTGACGAGGCGTATCTCTTCATCGGGGGTGAGGAAATCGGGCGGAGGGTCTGTCGCAAGTCGAGGAGCAATCTGTTCTCGAGCGAGGGAGTTTGTTTTTGCGCGTAGTTCTTGTAAGTTCGCCGGCGTGAATGACCAGAGCCGATATTGGCTCGACTGCCTGTAGCGCTCATCCTCCGTCGCCATTTTGTTGTTGTGAATGATGATAGAGAGCAGATGCGCCGTGATGGAGCTGCGTAGGTACTGCTTATTTTGGATGTCACGTGATCTTATCTTATCGGAATGATCGTCAGGGACCGAACCTCATTAAAATAGCCTCATTCAAGCTGAATTCAATCAATTACAGACGCATTTGCGTGGAGACTCTATTGTCCAAATCAAATCCAAACGCCAGCCAGATATTAAATTTACCAATTTACTCATACATCCATCAATATCCCAAGTTCTCCCTTCTTGTAGGAGGAGGAGGCGGGGGCTTCTTGGCTCGATTGGGAGGGGGAGGCGGTGGCTTCTTTCCAAGCGCCAGGCCGCTTGTGCTTCGGCTTAGACTTCCATAGCTAGTTGCAGGGCTGGCAGCACGGTGTTCCCAGTCAGGGCTGCCACTTCTGCTTGTTGAAACATCGTCAGAGAATACATCGTCATGGCGTCCGTATGAACCGCTGTCAGTAGCAACGCGAGCAAGAGGAGCACCTGGAACTCTGAGATTGGCCAGTGGTGTAGCTGTAGATGAGGAGCGGCCTTCAAATGTTGAGGCGCGTCCGATCGGGGGTCGTGCAGGTTGGGGAGGGGGAGGCGCAAGACGGCTTCCGGGGGAACGGTTGGGAATGCGAGCGGGTTCTTGTTCAGCCTCTGGCTCCTCGTAGACCGCCTGATGGCGAGGCTCTTGCCAAGAACGAGCGGTGTTTGATCGGCTTCGACCGATCTTGGGAGCACTGGTAGGCGAAGACGCAGCTCCAGCCCAGTTCTGGCGAACACGACGCAACTCATCGGCGCAGCGCTCATGGTAGTCAAGCTCAGCGTCGAGGAATTGGGTTAGGGATGTGATGTTGTCCACCTCGGATTCCTTGATGTCCTGCATACGACGAAGGACATCCTCGCTGGTCTCTTCGAATTTGGCCTTGTTCATGCGAACTTCTTCTTCGATGCGGAAATCGTCACGGCGGGCCTTTTGCAGCTTGTTGGTGCTGGCGTCGTAGGCGAGACGGCGGTTCTCAAGCTTCTTGCGGGCGTTCTACTCTTGTTAGCGGGCGTTTCCTCAAGCAATCGATTGACATACCTGGTACTCTCGCATCATTGCCAGACTCCTCTCAAGGTTGTCCAGCCAAGTGGCATTGGCACAGTCTACGTAGGAATCTTGGATGCCACCAATGCGCTCGTTGGCGCGACCCAAGGACAACAGGCAGTTTCCGAACTCGGACTCTTGCTCGAAATCCTCGCCATGGGTAGCCATTGTACGGCCAAGAGCCGCCATGGGAGTGCCGCGCTCTTTGTTATCCAAAAGCTCATTGCGTTGGGACAACCATTTAACGTAGCCGCTCATAGATCGTTGCATGCGCTCCATGCCTGGGATCGTTAGTCGTCGAAAAGTTAATGATCCATGGGGAACAAACCGTCTTGACGGAGGGCCATTTCGGTCTCCAGGTTCTTGAACTCATCAGAATGAGCCGTTCGGGCTTCAGCGCCCATCCTTTCGCCGGCCCATTGAAAGGCTCGGTCAATCTTCTTTGTGAAATGCATATTGACTCGTTCGGTATCGTAATGTCGGATCCAGTCCGATAGTTGTTCGCGGGGTCGTCTGGCGCCGTCGCTACAATGCAAAAGTAAAACGAGGGACAGAGGCAAGTTGTGGAAGTAAAAGAAAGAATCCTGAGAGCGAGAGACGGGGTAATGAATGATTGCAGAGGACGAACAAGGGGTAGAAGAGGGATGGGATGCTGGGGTGGCGAACAGTTGGGGCGTCTGATGGAAAAGGACACGACCTTGAAGGTCTTGACTGAACAAACCAAACCAATCCTTGACTGGCTCTGGTGATGCGACCTCAAGCCCGTTGGGAGTGAGCGTCTTCAGGGGTGCTTGTAGTGGTGTGGAGGTGAGGTTGGGGAGCCCAGCCCCGAGCTTTAAGGGAAAGCCACCTGAAAAGTCCCAAGCTACAGTGCGTTGCAGTAGTTTAGCTTATCTTATCGCCCTGCAGAGGGCAGTGAACTCAACTCAGCGGGGACCGAGAGTCTCAGGAATTGCATTCATTTTTATGAAACAGCGCCCGAGCAAACAAAGCGAATTATTGAAACAGCAATTACAGGTGACGTTTACTATTGAGTCTGTGGAATCCATATCCCGTCTGACGAGGAGAGACGTGGTGCCATGGGCAGGCGATGGGAAAGCCAAGAATGGCATGAGAAATGAAATGCTGAGGCGAATCGACCCCAAGATTCGGTCGAGGCAATTTTAGATTATAACCTACGGGCACTTGACTGAACTCTCTTGGCTGGACCGGCCAGACTGGCTGGGCGCTTCGGACATGGCGCGGCTTGAAAATTGATCTGTGGACCATTCGATCTGGAGCATCGCGTAGAGATGACACGGTGACTGTATCGCGCTGACGTATTGTACAGTCAGAGTTTCTGAAAATAGGACAGGACAATGGCTACAAGACGACGTACGTGATGTAGAGAGTCTGTACCCGGAGCGAGCCTGAGCGAGATGGATCCAATCCTGATACGAGTACGGATCAAATCTGTAACCCACGTACTGGCGTCTTGGTGACCCGTGTCTCCTATGGCCCCTGAGACAACGGCGCCAATAGCCTGCGGTACCGCTACACTAACAACGGGAACTGTCTCCGGCTGGGAAAGCCAAGTTGGTGATCCCCACCACGAGATAGCGAAATGGCACCTACGCCGTTGACTTCTTTATCTGGAGGTTAGCGACAAGGGTAGATAGATAAGTTGATTGACTGTTGCGTACAGAGTATATAGACCGCTATAGTTCATGGATTGTCCGTCAAATCAATCAAGATGCCGTTCATCATGTCGTTGACCGCGACTTGAACTAAGGTAGAGATGAAAACTCTGAAAGCTTCTTTAAGCATACCATTCTCCATAAACTAACCTTACTAAAAAGGTTCGTCGTTGGGACAGTCGACACCACCATTTGGACTCCTTCTCCTTCTCCTTCTCTCTCTGTCCATCAATACCACCCACTGCTGATCTTAACAGCAGTGTCGGCCCGTCCAACCCATCACCAACCTCACACCTTTTTCTTTCTCACGTTACCCTCGCGTGCCCTCTCCGACCCCGCTCCAAAGGTACAGTAAGAGCCGCAGGGCAGGAAAGTGATCGACCAGGCTCGACTCTATCGTATCTCGTTCTAGAAGACCCCAACCTCCAGCCTCGTTGGGAATAGTTAGAACTGTGTGTCGCCTAAAAAGGGCCTCGCCCCCTCATTCTTTACCCGCTCCACTATATACGGGGGGAGCATCCAGACCATTCCTCCAACTCTCCACCAACGAGCTTGCGTAATACCTCACGGGAGGAGGGGGAAAAAAGCACGCAAGACATTGGATTTCAACCCGGATACTGTGTGGTCTGTTACATTGAAGGGTACGACGACGATAGAAAAGCTTTTCCACTTGCCGATCTCCTTCCCATGCTTTCGTCTGACACCAAGAAAAAGCTTGGCCTTGGGATTCATGCGCTAAAGATACCGTAGACTCTTCTGGCTCAGACTTCCCCAGAATTCTGAGCGTGGCCCGATTTGGCGCGCGCCAGTAGGTGTTATTTGATGATCCATATTTTCCTTGAGGCAGTGCTATTTTTGCAGTGATCTTCATTCATTGCGATCCGCGCTGGTGAAACGTAGATGTGCGCCATTTGAGACAATTGCGTGGCACAAGTGATGTGATCTATAGGGTATGGACGTATCTATTTCAAGGGTTGCAAGGGTAATACCATGACTGACGTCTGTCAGCATCCCTTGTCTCATGTGGAAGGTCCCTTAGCCAGTTGAATCTGTAACTCGGTAGTTCGGTAAGAATGGCTACTGAAGGGTCTGAACATCAATATCGGCGTTTAATGCTATGTACTCTTCGGGTACATCATGACACTCTTATCCCTCCAGCCACTCCTCAGTATATACACTTTCCGCAATATCCGCACTCTTGATCACACGCAGCATAATCACTGTCACCGTCGCTATCCGATTGCGCCGCCATCAACTCTTCCTCGCGCTCCGAGTCCTCCGGATCCTTGTTCTCACTCCCCAACCAGGCTTCCCATTGCTTCCTGACAGGTTCAGACAAGACGTCACCCGCATCCGACAGCTGTTTGCGGATCTCGAGAGAACCGCTGTTGGACCATACGATCTCCAACTTACCGTCCTTTGACGCGTGGGCCTTGTCAATTATGAGGCGCAGGAGTGCAGCGAGACGCTTGAGCGATGGCTGGTTGAGATCCTGCCATTCGGTGATGTCGGCTTTGACATTCTTGATCTCAATGTTGGAGTCTCTGAAGAGACCTCTCTCGTGGTAGGCGAGGAGGAATTGCGTGACTTGAGCGATCCACAAGCGTGGAAGTTGTTCGCCGAGATGATCCTTTTCACGAGCCATGATTGATCGTGTCTTTAAGTCGAAGATGCTGCTTTGGGGGACGGATTCACCTCCATCTGACACTTTGAGTTGGCCAGTGCCCTTTGACAGCGATTCAGTGATGCCGAGACTTTCCAAATCGTGGAAAGTGTATCCCTTCACGGTCTTGGCGACAGGACTGGACGAAGTGTACCCATCGCCTTCGAAGCGGACCATGAGATCAAGACCGCCAAATTGATACGAAAGGATTCGCTGATGCGAGGTCGAGCGCTTGACCGAAGAGTCCCATGTGGTGTATGCCTCCGGGAATGTATGCCCGAATCCTCGTACGCCTTCAATCTTCTCGCGAGGCGAATTCTCTCTGCGAATGAGATGGACAGTGTCGCCGACCTTCTCAACAAGAATGCGAAACGAACGATCCAGATCAACACCTCGAGCAAAGCGCAGGAGGTTCCCGATCGTGCTTCCACATGCAACGATGTTGACAGGGATGGGGCTGGGATTCATCTTCATCACAGAGACAATTGCAGGCTCGAGAGGATGTTTGGGGTAAGCTGCTGCATTGACATCGCGATAGTACTCGCCAGAGTCACCAGGTAATTTATTCGGGCCTTTGAGAGGCGTCCATCTTGGAGGTTGACCTGCACCCATTAGACATGCTGTTTTTCTGGAGTGGCTGACGTACCTGGGATGATGATCTCGGGAGAAGATGAGCTGATCCAATTGTAGGATGCGACTACTTTGGCGTTCTCAATTTTCACGTGGTCGCCATCGCTTTTGAGGCTGTCTTGAGTGATGCGCTCAATTACATCTCCGAGTGGAGGTGCTGGCGATGGAGTCACAGGCGCGGGTGCTCGCCATGCGCGCGAACTTGCTTGACGGCGTCCGTACATCATGAAGTGAGTTTAATGAATGAGATGAATATGAGAATAGTATGTTAGGTATGATTGATAGACTGAAGCTTGCGAATATTGGATGAATGAGGCTGATGAGCTGCTGGAAAATGAAGACAGACACCTTATATGTTCTCAAATACCATTCCCTTCTCCTGCGTAACACCAGGAGGCCTACCAGACAATCAATGGCAATATGCCACAGTGTTTGCCTAATCGTTGCATTAATTACACTTTGCCCATCCTTTGTTGGTTGCGACGATGTTGGCCTGTTTCCCGGCCTGCTGGGCTGTGAAAAACAGGCAGGCATTCTTCGCTCACGTCTCTCAACCAGGGTACCGAAAACAAACTATCCAACTTGCAAAAGTCCATAAAGTTTATATGAAGAACCGTGAATATTTCAATGTATTCTTCCCTTTTTAATTGAAGTCTTGCTGTATTGCACCGGAGTTGACTGCCAGTCGATGTCTCCGCCGTGACCTGTGGGAGGCCGACCAAAACAACTCAGAGCCTGATTGACAGCGAATTAAATGCCTTTTTCATTGTCGCATCACACGGGAGGCTTTATCGGCCCCATGCATTCTGTTGGCCGTCGTGGCGATGCTGGTTGGGTGAAGTCAAGGCAGACAGACAGACAGCTTCATTCACAGTACAAATTGAAGCTGCATTCACCCACTCGCTTGTTCGATGATATCGTATCCCTCTTAGATCATCAGTTTTAATTCCATCAGAAAGTTCATCATCCTCATCATCTTATCTCGGCATCATCGCTATCGCTGCCATGGTTCTAGTACAAGACGCATCTGGCTCTCGAGCCGCAAAGCTCATCAAGACCTTCTGGGCCGTCATCAAAGGCGAACAGCAAATCATCAATGCACACTCCGCAAAGTTATTTGCACAAGGTTGTGAGATCTACAGGAGCAAGAACTCGCCTGTCAAATTTGTTGAGGTCTTGATCTCGAACCCTGCCGGCATCGCGGCGTTGGAGAGAGTAGTCCGCGTCGACTTGACTTTTAGCTTCATAAACACCACTGCCTTGCCGTTTCTCCTAACGCTATCGGATGAGGGCGTCGCTGCTCTCAGTAATGGTGGATTCCTTCGCCAGATGCTGACGGCTATTCTGGAGCCGGTGACCTTTTGGACTGCTGCCCTGGGCGCTTACCATAATGACAAACTCGACAATGTCGGCCTTGAAGCATTTGCTTGGCTGTGCCTACAGGTTGTTTCTGATCAAACGAGCTTTGGAATCCATAAGAAAGCAG